TCGCATCACGCCTCCGCGTTTTAAAACATTGGTTTCAAGAGGTAAGGAAGGGAGATGATGATGTTGGCTTCTTGGTTTTGGGAAAAATGGAAGAGTCTAGGATAAGTGTTGGCTTAAGTGTTTTCTCCCCACCAAAGGTCTGTCCAGAATTTGGTTTTGTTCCTGTTCCCAACTTTATAGTGAACAAAAGGAATAAATGTGCTAAAATTAGAGGAAATACCTTTCCAGGGGTTGGTGGATTTCACTCGATTCAAGGGTGTACCCTGTTATCCCGACCATTGGCATTCTTCCCATATTTATTGTTGATGAGAGGTCCAAAGAGCATCCAGTTCAAGAGGGTAACACCACAACCACTTCCCAAGAAGAGATAAATTCTTCTCCTTAATATGGCCTAAGCCAAGACCCCCCACTGTCTTAGGTTTGCACATTTGGCCCCAATTGACTAATTGATTTTTCTTATCTCCACCTCCATCCCAAAGAAAGTCATACTGGATCTTTTCAATTCTAATCTTTACCTGGAACTTGAAAGACTGACAAGTAGTAGGTCGGTAAGTTTGCCAGAGAGGATTTTATTAAAGTTAGTCTTCCCCCTTTTGAGAGGTAACCTTTCTTCCAAGTGGCTAACCTATTTTGACACTTCACAACCAGGTCCCAAAAGCTTTGGCTTTCTGGGTTTCCCCCAAGTGGCATCCCAAGATAAGAAATGGGAAAATTCTCCATTTTACACCCTGATCCTTGAAGCTGCTCACAAGATTGTCAGTATGTTTAATCCCAGAATACTACTTTTAGAGAAATTGGCTAGAAGTCCTGACACCTTCTCAGTTGATGATTCTCATCTTCCAAAAATAACAAGATGTTATCTGCAAATAATAAGTGGGAAATCTGGAAACCTTCCCTTCCAATTTCAAAACCTTCTAACAGATTTAACCTTCTTGCTTTCTCCAAAAACCAGACTAAGGATGTCAACCACCAAGGTGAAAAAGGGGAAAGAGGGCAGCCTTTCTTGAGTCCCCAAATAACATTAAAATAGCTTCAGAGGTGAAGGGAAGGTTTTCCAATTTGATGTAGGTGCCTGAAGAATAACAAATACTTTTGGACATCATCATCATGATCATCACCACCATCATTATCAGATCATTATCCCATCTATTAGCTAAGAGGCAGCTCTGATATAATAGACTGTAATTATCATCTATCAGATCATTATCAAGAAGAACTGCATGCACAACAATAGAAAAAAAGGAATCATCATCATTATCTACTAAATCTTGTCTCAACCATAATGGTTTGGCTACATGAATCCTGTTCCACCATTCCATTCTGTTCAGTGCCATATCTATTATTAAATTATGAGCCCTTAAATCATTTCTGACTACTTTGACTTGTAAAGAGACTGGGCCCTAACAGCCTCTCTTGCAATATCTTTTATTTTATGTTGATGGGCCACACTTAATGGGCCTGTTATTTATTCTTGTTTATTTCCTTTATGTAACTACCAAGCTGGCCGCCCACTTAAGGGCATACTTGTCATCATTAATTTTTTAGAT